GCGGGGAGTGGGGGTGAGGAATGGTTCCAATATCTCACCCCAGAGGTCTACCCTGGCGATGCCCTGACCCTCTCCCCACCACACACACACCTGGGACGGGAAGTGGGCGTGGGCAGTGGGTGCTGTCCCCAACCCACAGGGATGAGGTCAGTAGCAGCCGGGATGCCCTGGGTGGGAGAGGCTGGAGTGTGTATGTGGGGAGGGTAAGAGTCAGAGGCGGGAGTCTGGTCCCACCCAGTTCCTCACCAGGCCCCAAACCAGCTCCCTCTGGGTGGGAGTCTCCCCATCTCCCGCTCAAGTCCCCTCCCGGTTCTGGGTTTAACTTACCGAAGGTACTCAGCCCCAGGAACAAAACCTGCAGCAGGCTGCTGGCAGGGAGTCCAGGCAGGGACACCATGGCCTTCCCTGGCCCCGATGGTCAGGGGCGCTGGCTCTGGGACGCAGTGACCGCCAGGTGCCGAGGCCACGGGACAGCCGAGTGACCGACAGGTGCCGAGGCCACGGGACAGCCGGAGCGGAAAGGTCGCTGTCCTCCCGGGCGGGGCACGCGGGTGACCCTCCTGACTCTCCTCGAGCTCTGGGATCCGGTGGCTTTGACCTGGCCGGCGCGCAGGGCGGGGTCCGGTAATCCGGTGCACCCACTGCGGCCTGGGCAGGGAAGACCAGGGTCCCGGCGGCCACAATCTCTCCGCGGGGCGGGTGGGAGAAGGATGGGAGGGAGGGAGCTTTGGGGATTCCTCAGTGTCCAGGGACCACTCACACCCCCACACCGTAAACTTTAGAGCACTGGTCCCCGACTAACTGGCTCCGAGCCTAACCCGAGTGGCCTGCCTGGTGGAGGAAGAAGGGCACCGTTTCCCCGGGGCCACTGGGGCTCCGCAGTGTGGGGGACCGGCAGGGACGGCGCCAAACCCGGAGTGACCGCTTTCCCAGGGCGGGGGTGGGGAGGCAGGGGGTGCTGGGCCTGAGCCGCGAGGAGGAGCGGGTCAGTGGGTGGGTTATGGCCACCTGAGCCAAGAAGCCCGAGGCCGCTCGGCAGGAGGTCAGGCCCGCAAGGGACTCGCCTGCGTG